GCAAAACGTTTTGAAAACCTTGTAAAGATTAAAATCCTTGAAATCACTTCAATCTCTTGCACCACAGCTAAATAATAGATAACATGACCAAGTTGTTTATATACAAAGAGGGACAGAAGTCTTAAAACAGTCAAAATCCAAATCTAACTTGGAAAACCTTTTCCTTCCATCTCCTTTTCCTTTTTCTTTTTCTTCTATCTCCTTTTCCTTTCGCATGCAGGAATAATGGTGTAGACTATAGATAAAAAGAGTTTGTTTTTTCATAAGCGCATGTGTTCTCAATACGCTCTCACAAGATTGTTTTTTTTTTTTTTTGAAAGGTAAAGCAATTTTATTCAGAAGAGGAAAAATTTTCCCTCTTTTTTCATGAAGTTGTTTTCCAATACTTTCTTTTTCAATTGGTGAAATAATAATAATAAAATATTTTTATTAATACTAGTGAATCACAATTTATAATTATAAACTAATTTACTAAATTATACACAACCATTTGACTAATGCTGCACAACTTGGGCTTAACCAACCTGACATATGAAATATTCAATTATAACTTGAATTATTAGGGTATGGAGCACCTTATTGTATTAAAATTCTAAAAAATCTTTAGTCAATTTAAGGATAAATTGGAAAAAAAAAAAACTCCATGTTATATAAAAATGTGAAAAAAAAAACCATATTTTTTAGTATGTGCATATATGTGCAAATTGTTAGATCAAAAATTTTTGTTTTAAAAAAGAGAGGGTAAAATGCCATTAAAAACTGAAATCAATGCTTTTGTTTTTATTGTCTTTAGGGCATTTAAGTATTTCATTCTTCAAATTGACAAAATGTCCTTACTCAATTAAAAAGTTTTTTTTTTTTTTTTTTTTTTTTTTTTATCACTTTACCCTCAATTTAAGTGGATAAGTTTAAGTTGATTGTTTTGGCTCTGTTTGAACTAATTGTCGGTAACGGTGATGAGAAAATTGCTATAATGAGGGATCTTTGACGTGAAGACTTTGGGGCGTGAAAATGATGCAAATTTTTCCCAGGATCCTTTTAGTCTAAAATTCATTTTACTAGGTGACTTTTGACTTTAGCCACAAGTTTTAGGGGTGCACAAAAAAAATTTAGAATCATTAAATCGGTATTGGGGCTTCGGTTTAAATTTTTAATGGCTCAATTTTAATTATGACTTGAAAATTAACAAACCGTTACATTTTAGTTCGGTTTTGATTTGAGTCCCTTTAAAACCGAACAAATACTAATTCAATAAATTGCGCTCCAAGCTACTACAGTCTTTCAATCCACATCAGCAACAGCTAATCGAAACCAAAAACAAAGAAACAAGTGATTTATTGCTTCTCTGGTAAGCTAAATTGTTATGAAATAAATGATCAAATAGGAGTTTATGAGAACAAGAGAAAAAATAAATGACAAAAAAATAAAATAGCACACACACAAACGAGAGAAGGATTTACGTGGTTCGACTATGCCTACGTGTACGGTGAGAAGACAGAACAATATTTCACTATGGAAATAAAGAGATATAAGGCTAAATGGCTCACACCTAAAACCTAATTACTTCCAAACTCTCTCACACCTTGAGAAAACTGATATTTAGCAAACATTAGCTCATAATTTTTGGATAGTGTAGAGTGCATGAGATACATGGCTATTTATAGCCAAAGAATACCAACTTATGCTTGCTGGTCAAGCATATATCTTACTGATCACACATGGTGCTGGCATGCATTAAAGAAGTTTCTCAACCATAGCTTGCTGATCATGCTCCTTGGAGGACAAGTTAATGAAGTAATGGGTGATGTATTACTTGCTGAGTTGGTAATTTGTTTTGAGCCACAATATTCAACAAATCTTCACCTTGGCGAAAAATTTAAATAAGCCATTGTATCTCTACCAAACAAACTGTCTTCTCCATAAAGCCCCTGAGGGCAATTTCAACCTTTGAGAATGCCAACCAAGTCCAAGCAATGCTTGAACTTGAGAGCCGGAATGGACTTTGTCATCATATCCGCCGGATTTTCAGCTGTGCCTATTTTCTTCAATGTAGTAATTACTTCTGATATGACATCCCGAATAAAATGATATCTGATATCAATATGTTTGGTTCTCTCATGAAACATTTGATTTTTGATCAAATATATTGCACTTTGACTGTCATAATAAATAACAATTGAGCTCTGCTGTAAACCCAAAACACTAACCTAACCTCTCAACCAAATGGCTTCCTTCACTGCTTCAGTGGCCGCCATATATTCTGCTTCTGTAGTAGAAAGAACAACTGTAGATTACAAAGTTGTTTTCCAACTAATTGCACAACCTAAGAGAGTAAAGACGTATCCTGTCAGAGATTTTCTTCTGTCTAAATCACCAGCATAATCGAAGTCCATAAAACCAACAACACTGCCAAAAACATCACTGCTCTTCTGATAAACTAAGCCAATATCTGTAGTACCTTTCAAATACTGAAGAATCCACTTCACGGCTTGCCAATGTTCTTTTCCTGGATTATCCATATATCTGCTAACTACACTAACTGCATGTGAAATATCAAGGCGAGTGTAAACAATTGCATCCATCAAGCTACCAACTGCACTAGCATAAGGAACACGTGACATGTGCTCATTCTCCTCCTCGGACTGCGGTGATAAAGTTGCAGAAAGACGAAAATGAGCAGCAAGTGGTGTGCTCATAGGCTTGAAATTCTGCATGTTGAACCGCTCAAGCACTTTCTTAATATAACTCTTCTCTGACAAACTTAACCTGCCAGCTTAACGATCCCTTTGAATTTCCATGCCTAAAATATTTTTTGCTACAACGAGATCTTTTATCTCAAATTTAGTATTTAACTGAGATTTTAACTTGTTGATTTCTGACATGTCTTTTGCAGCAATAAGCATGTCATCAACATATAATAACAAGTATACAAAAGAACCATCTGAGAGCTTCCGATAGTAAACACAACTGTCATAGCTACTTCTTAAGTAACCATGTCCAACCATAAAAGTGTCGAACCTCTTGTACCACTGCCTTGGAGATTGCTTCAATCCATACAAGGATTTCTTCAACAAACAGACATGGTCTTCCTTTCCCTGAACAACGAACTCTTCTGGCTGATGCATATAAATTTCTTCTTCAAGCTCACCATGTAGAAAATTTATTTTGACATCAAGTTGCTCAAGCTCTAAGTTAAATAGAGCAACCATGGCAAACAACACGTGAATAGAGGTGTGTTTCGCAACTGGTGAGAATATTTCATTGAAGTCCACACCTTCTGTCTGACTATAACTTTTTGCCACCAAACGTGCTTTGTACCTTGCATCTTCAACACCTGGAGTTCTTTCATTTTTCTTGAAAACCCATTTACAACCAACAATCTTTTAGCCTTTAGGAGGTTTTATTAGCTCTCATGTCTGATTCTTGTGAAGAGATTCAATCTCCTCAGTCATAGCAACAGTCCACTTGGCAGATTTATTTCCTGTAATAGCTTCTTGGTAGATGGAAGGCTTTTTATCTTTAATATTTTCTATCTATAGACAAAGGATAAACAACTAAATCTGCATAAGCATACCTCTGAGGAGGTTTAATCTGCCTTTTAAGTCTCTCTATTGCAATACTGTACTGTTACTCATCTAGTACTTGATCATCCTGCACCTCTTCAACATTGGGCTGAACTGGAATATTGACTTATTTTTCTGGAGCTTCAAAGTCATGTTCCACCTGCTGCTTAACACCCTAAGATTCACCTGTAACAAAAGACTCCTTTCTCGGGTGAAGTAAAGCAAACTCATTTAAAGTAACATCTCTGTTAGTAATAAACTTAGGTGACTTAAGATCAAGACACCATAACCTGTATCCCTTCACCCCGGATATATAGCCAATAAAAATACATTTCTTGGCTCTAGGCACAAGTTTTCCTTCATTAACATTAACATAAGCAGGATATCCAAAAACTTTTAAATTAAAATAATAAACAGGAGTATCAGACCATACCTCTTCAAGTGTTTTGCACTCAATAGCAGTCGATGGTGACCTGTTCACCAGATAGCAGGCTGTGTTGACTGCTTCAGCCCAAAATCCTTTAGACAACCCAGTATTGAAAAGCATACACCATTCTGTAGTGGAGTCTTTCAAACTGTATGATGTTTGACAATGCCTTCATTTCTGCAGAACTCGTCAAACTCTCATGAGCAAAATTCTAAACCGTTATCTGTTCTGAGACGCTTGATCTTCTTTCCGGTCTACTTTTCAATTATGGCCTTCCACTGTTTAACTTAAGGAACACTTCATGTTTTTGCTTCAAGATATAGATCCAGACTTTCCTGGAGAAGTCATCAATAAAAATCAACATATATCAAGAACCACCAAGAGAGGGAACACTAGAAGGACCCCAAAGATCTGAATGAATGTAATCAACAGTGCCCTTGGTCTTGTGAACAGTTGTGCTGAACTTGAGTCTTTTCTGCTTTCTAAAGACATAATGCTCGCAAAAGTCCAACTTTCTCGTCTTCTGTCCACTTAACAAACCTCGTTTGCTCAATTCTGTTAAACCCCTCTTACTCATATTCCCTAAACACATATGCCATAGATTGGTAGTTTCTGAATCTTGATCAACTGAAGAAAATATTGAAGCAGCACCAGTCAAAGTACTACCCCGTAAAAAATAGAGGCATTTTCTCTATTTTCCCTTAAGCATAATAAGAGCACCTTTAGAAACTCTTAAAACTCCACCTGTAACTGAAAACTTGCAACCATTAGAGTTAAGAGTGTCAAGAGAAATCAAATTCTTTTTCAAATATGGAACATGCCGAGCATCAGTTAAAGTTTTAACAATACCATCATGCATCTTAATTCACTACAACAAAATGGGCTTTTAACAACGTATTTTCTACAAGGGGCATGCATAGCCCTTGTAGAAAGTACTTTCTACAACAGGCCGTGCAAGCCCTTGTAGAAGAGTAGTTTTCAACAACAGGCCTGGATAGCCCATTGTAGAAAGGGCTTTCTACAACATGCCCGCATGACCCCTTGTAGAATAGGGTTTCTTTTTGTGAAAAGTTGAATTTGGCGGCTTCTTTTACATCAAGCTCTATCAGCGCGAAAAAGGTACCATTCCTATTCCTCCCAAATTCGCACACATCGATCCATCAACCAAAATCCACACGAAACCCTAATCATCTAAGCCCAAATTTCGCGAGTTTGGTTCATCTCTGTTCTCTGAACTTTCACCGATTTTCCAGAACCTACTATCCGCCATTAAAGCTCCTGAGGTACCTATCTCTCATGCACTTAATTTTTTGTTCTGTTTAATTTTTTATTTTTTCCTTTTCCTCCGCGAGTGGTGGGTAAGACTAGGGTTTCTTACATTAAGATGTAAATTAAAATTTTCTGTTCAATAATATTAATTCATTTCCTCAACAGTCAAAACAGAAACTAAATTTTGATAAAAATCCATATCCCTCTGTTTTTCAGGCATGCAGAAAGCAGATTTGAGACTTGCTCGCAAACAACTTGAAATTCGAGATAAAAAAATGTAGCTAAACAATATTCAGACCCAAATTTTTCATCCATGACCTTGCCTCCTACTGGCCACAATTTACTCACATTACCAGTGCAGCTGCTCATGATATTATGCTGTTTACGGTCTCCAAGTGTACTGGACATGCTGGATCACGCATTGGGTAATTTTCTAAATTTTGATCAATTTTTAAACGTTTGCCTACCAAGAAACATTTACACCTGTCGTGACAAACAACAGCAATGTACAAAACAAAGTACACTACACAAAATATAGAGATTTAATGTAGTGTTAATTCACTATATAGTATACTTAATCAAGAGACTTTTGCATAGATAGCAAGAACTCAGAAAATCCGTTGTCCAAAACCAGTCAAGGCCAATGCTGCATCGCCGCGGAGTCCATCCCCACTGTGACTCGGCGGCGGCGAAGTAGCAGAGAACACTCCAGAACTCATCCAATAACTAGTACTACTCTCAGACCCATTAACTAAATCACCATAAGAGTACTCTCGCTTCTTCATCATATTGTTCCCAATATGCGAAATTACACAAGCACTTGATCATTAATAAAACTTCCAAAGAGAAATTTCTCCTTTCTCTTTGTGCATGTCAAACCCATAAGGGATATGTTCAGCCCATCTCTATGTTAGAGCTCAATGATTCAAAACTAGAGATTTTTGTCTATTATTTGTCGGGCTAAAAAAAAAAAAAAACATAGGACTAACCCCTAGATAAGAAATCTAGTAACAAGAAACTCTAAAATGATGGCTTAGAAACTCCCAATCCTCCTCTGCATATGTGCCACTAGTATGTCATAAATCAGATAGAGCATGGAGGTGATGCTTTTGAATAGCCTTTATTTATTTATAACTATTTTAGTTCTCTCTTACGCTCAACTTAGCTAATTTATATTTTTAATGTTTTATTGGTTGCGCATGATGTCTTGAATTTTTTTGCAGATCTAGGAGCCCTGGGAAACTATCCTAGTTCTCCCTTTTTGCCTTCTGATTCAGATATTTTACTTGATTCACCTGAGCAAGAGGATATAGGTAAGCAGAGTAGTGTCTTTACAATAGTTTTCTTTTTCATTTTCTATTTTTTTTTGGGGTAAAAATAAATAATCTCATCAGCTCCTATTATTTTAAAGGACAATGCTTAGCTACTCACCAGTGAGTAGAGTGAAACTACTCACCCCTATGTGGTCCAATAACAAAATAACACATCACCTTTAATAATAAAATAATTCACACCTTTTTCTGTTTTCTCGGATCAACCATTGAATAAATCGTATAAAGTGTTTTTAGGTGTGGATTATTTTATTTTTAAATGTGATGTGTTATTTTATTATTGAACCATATAGGGGTGAGTAGCTTCACTCTACTCACCAGTGAGTAGCTAAGCATTATCCTATTTGAAATTATCCTACTGTAGCCATGTAAACAAAGAAGGCTTTATCTGGGAGAGTTAAATCAAGTCACGGCGCACAAAGAAAAAAGAAAAGAAAAATACTGTCACCTTTAAGAAGGTAGTTTCTCGTGAATGCACATTTGTTTTTAATGATTCTACTACCTCATTTGCAGAAGACTTCGTTGCTTCTTTGCGTTTCTTAGAGCCTTCTGATCCATGCCTTCCTTTTATGTGCACAACGCTTGAGGTAATCTAACAATTCCAGCTGTTCTTATTCATTTGAACTCTGATTTCATAGCATTTTACCAAGAAGAAATATGATTGTGAAGTCAATTGTTAGACAAGGGAAACTTAAGTTGAATCATACATCTATTAATGTAGACATTTATACAATTACACAAGAGTATTGTAAGATACTAGATAGAACCACAACTTGTTTCAAAATTCGTAAGTCTAAATTAATATTTTTAAATCTGCATTTTTTCCCAATGATCTGTATAATAATAGGGCTTATCTTCCCTTTGTTCATTTTGACTCTTTTCCTCCCTTTTCTTCCTTCCTTCTTTCATTATTTTTTGGGTTTTCAATTGCATGCACTTTAAGTTTTCCTTGAGAGTTAAGATGAAATACTATGTATCCATACGCTCCAACTCAGAACAAGACCAGTTTCTTTCTTTATTTACCATTCATACAATGCTAACTCCATATGCATTTGATCTTTGAAGTTTGTGCAATACCCAATTGCAAGTGATCGGTAGAAGTAAAAGTAATCAACTTTTCATTACTGCTTCCAGGTTTCTGATGATCTTCATCAATGACCTGCTCTCCGTAAAAGATCTAACAGTGTCAAAAACCACCTTTTAGCTAGTATTCTAATGAAAGCCTTTGTCATATTGAAGATTTTACTATTTAATTACTCTAATCTTAAATTCACAATCATCATACCAATTGTTTTCAACTGACCTTATATATATATATATATATATATATATATATATATATATATATAATTGTCCAATGATTTTGAGGGCCTGGCATCTATTATGCAATTTTTTATTTTATTTTATTTTTTTTGTTTTGCTATACACACACACACACATATATATATATTTGTTTATCTGCTCACTCACTGGTGTGGAAGTACTTAAATACTTTTTTGAGCACGTTTTAAAAAGATTTTAATGATATATCAATATGAAAAACACTATTTGGTTTACATGCAGGGCAGAACGTGAGATAAGCTTGTATTTCTGAATTTTTGCTTAAATGATGCTTGAAGTATGTATTTTTTTTCCTTAGATTTTTGGGTTGGATGCATTTCTGAGTTTTTGCTTAATTAAATGATCTTGACGCTTGATAGACTAATTTAATAGAAACTAATCATTACAAAAGGCATGAAGTGAAAAAATTACAAAATGGCAGCTAAAGTTGTTAATGTAGAGATGCATAGGAGACTATTACTTAACAAAAACATGAGAGACAGTTTCCCATCACTAGTTGAATCATCCGGCCTGGGCTGGTTCTAATGGCACTTGTCATGTATTAAACTTAGGCAGAGGTCAGAATATGCACCCAGGAACATTATGTTAAACTTACATTGTTCACTGCAGTTTTTTAGCACTGTGATCCTTCGCCTCTGACTGCATGTAACTCCACTAATATTATATTTGTTCTCTCTTTGTGTGCACTCTTTTTTTGTAGATTCGTGCTATACTTTTAGATCCTTCGTGCTCTGGATCGGGGATTGCTATAGAGATACTGGATCATCTCCTCCCATCTTATAGCACAGGTTAGTATTAGTCTCTGTCTTTTGAGGTTCACATTTTCATCTTTATGATCTCATTCCTTTTAACCTCTTACTCTTCTATTTCCAATTAAGTTGTTGTTGGCTTGCACTCATTTATTTGTTAGCACTAGTCAATTATTATTAAAACTAATGGTTCTGTGAAATAGACCTTTTAGTAAGAAACTTCATAGTAGGAAATACCTTTCTTCTCCACATTGATGTAATTTGTTCTTTGAGAGTCAGATCCACTGCTACGGCTAGCTTTTATTTTCATCACTAATATTAGTACACTAGGTAGCTTTTGGAGCCAAGGGGATCCACTGCTACGGCTAGCTTTTCTCCACATTGATGTAAATTTGTATAATTTCAGCCCAACATCATAATACTTAAGTTGAGAGCTTCAGTCTTATTAATTACCAGTTTTTTCTGAAAGATTAATGGCCTAAGAAAATTAATGTTAGGCTAGCAGCTCATTTTAATGCAAATCGGAGATATTACCAAGGGAACTTATTATCTGTCACACTTTTACAGGAACATTTTTTTATTATCACTTATTTCATGCATATTAATTCATATATCTGTTTATGCCCTGATTTATTTATTTTTAATATACTTTTTCTTTCTTGAGTTCTTTAGTGATAGTTTCGGCTAAAATTCTCTTCTTTGTTTTCAATTATGTTTAGCTGCTTGGAGTCTTGCCTTGAATGCTTTGGAGGGAAAGTTTTTGCAATCTGAGCGTGATGGGAAATGCCTTGGTTGTGTTGGTATTGAAAATTTTCTAATCCTTGTACAGATGGTTACAATGAAGGGAACTTTGTAATCTTTAATGAATATAAAATAAATTTGGGATCTATTTGTTTGTGATTAGTGGGATGTAGATGTAAATTTTCATTTTTATCTGACTTGAACTCTTTTTCATCTTGTATCATATTATTTGTATAAGGCTTGGTGTGGATATATATACCTTTGGGTGGATTTATTGTTGTGTTTAGTTGTACTGATCGATTTTGTGTTGGGGCAATGTAAGGCAACTATTGAATTTTTTTTTAAAATGTTTTTTACAAGGGGCCAGACCCGTTGTCGAAAGCACCCTTTCTACAAAGGGCGCAGACCATCATAGAAAGCCCTGTTTCTACAACGGGCTGGAACCGTTGTAGAAGACCCTGAGTCAACAATAACAGGGGATACCACAACGGGCCATGCCCTTTGTAGAACTGTTTTTCGCCCCCTTGTTAAAAACCATTTTTCTTGTAATGATTTGGATTGTGCCTATGCCAACAGTCTTACAGCAGGGATTGTTATTCCCCATTAAGACAGTACCACCATCAATAGACCGGTAAGAAGAAAAATAGTCCCTATTAGAACAAATATGATAGGAACAACCATAATCAAGAATCCATTCACTATTAGAGTAACAATTACTGACAGAAACTGAAAAAACATTTTTGACATCCGAGGAACTTTCGTCAACAACCCCAGCAACATCAGAAGAATTATTAGTGGATTTATCCTTGGACTCTTTTTTATCCTTTTTAACTTTCTTCTTATTTTTCAATTTTGGACAATTCCACTTAATGTGCCCTTTTTGGTGACAACAATAACATTTAGTATCTTTATGAGACCTAGATTTAGATCTTGATTTGTCCCTACTACCAGAACCCTTTTTCTCACTTCTTCCCCTCACAACCAAACCCTCGGCCTGTTCATCTCCATTATTCCCAAACACCTTTTTTCTCAACTCTTGAGAGTCTAGCGAGGATTTAACATCCTCCATACTAATGGTGTCTTTTTCATAGAGCAATGTGGTAACAAAATGCTCATAGGAAGGAGGCAAAGAACACAACATAATAAGGGCTTGAAATTATCAACATGTGAATTGAAATTATCAACATGTGAGGCATACCTTCCTTTATATGAAGGGTGTAGAGTTTCTGTTTCAGGTAAAGTCTATTGGTGAGAGATTTCGTCATGTACAGACTTTCCAATTTCATTCACAATTTTGCCGCTGTGTTTTTATCAATAACTTCACGTAGCACCTCATTAGCTAGATTCAAGAGAATCGCACTGTGGGTTTTTATCAACCTCATCCTTGTCTTCAGTGGACATAGTTATTGGCAACTTGTCCTTCCCAAACAGCACATTCTTTAAACCTTGCTGAGTCAGGCCTGTATCTTAATGCGCCAAAGACTGAAACTAATTTTGCCATCAAATTTCTTAATCTCGTATCTAGTCGATATCTCAAAAAAACTCCCCAAAATATTTCTCGGTGACTAGTACGTTCCGTATTTGTGAACAGTACCTGAATAGTGTATGTGAAATAATACTGTATGTGTGAACAATATCTGTACACAATACACTAACCGAGCTATGATACCAGTTTGTTATGAAATAAAGGGTCGAATAGGAGTTTACGAGAGCAAGAAAAAAAATAAATGACAAGAAAATAAAATAGCACACATACAAACAAGATAAAGATTTACGTGATTCGGTTATGCCTACGTCTACGGGGAGAAGATAGAACAATATTTCACTATGGAAATAAAGATATACAAGACTAAATGGCTCACACCCAAAATCCAATTACACCCAAACTTTTTTACACCTTGAAAAAACTGATATTGGGCAAACACTAGCTCTCAATTTTTGGATAATGTAGAATGCATGAGATACATGGCTATTTATAGCCAAAGAATACCGACTTTCCTGATCAAGCATATATCTTGCTGATCACACATGGGGTTAGCACTAAATAAGCTTCAAGTTGATGAAGTAATAGGTGATGCATTATTTGCTGAGTTGGCAATTTGTTTTGAGCCACAATATTCAACATAAACTAATTTGATTCTTGAAACAACAACGAACGTGGAAATATATATATATATATATATATATATATATATATATATATATATTTGTTTTTGTGTGATTAAAAGAGGATGTGTATGCAATCAACTAAGCATAAGCAAAATAAGCAATAATAATCATTCACAAAGTGACACCAGATATACGTGGAAAAAATTCAAAAAGGATAAAAAAACCTAAAGGACCAGAGTCCGATTTTAACTTTCATTATGCAACAATAATGAGATACACAAGTTTCTTCTCTAGGAATACAATCATCAAGAGTAGCATACTCTTAGTTCACCACAATAATAGCCTCACCAATAATAGTGTAGATTCCAACAAGAAACTCAACAAGAAGATTTAGATCTCATCGATGTGTGCAAAAAAAGGATGACCCAAATTGACCAATTTAGAGAGGCAATATCAATTAATGATCCAAACCGATAAATGTGCAGAGCTCGTTTGTTGAGAATCACCATTTGAAGCTCATTGTTTTGAACTTTTCGATTTTTGATTCTTCTCGAACTGGACTGAACCGGTCTTTTATAGTTCAATTCGGTTTCATGAATCAACTGTTTCGATTCTAATTTCAATTTTTTAGCAAATGTTGTGATCAATCCGTTCCAAATTATTGAATCGAACCGCGTGCACCTTACCTAGTACCTACAGCAAGGCTCAAACGACCTAAAACACTTAAGTTACTGCAATTAGCATTCTTCAATCTTCTAATATAGTGTACAACGAATGAAGTAAATTAAAAAATTCAGAATTTTGTTCCAATCATCATTTCTCTATTCTAAGGGGGAGTAAATCTTTATGTGCAAAATTCCTCAATTAGTTGGTACCTCCTGATGAGTGAAAACTGCCATTCTAGGTTTTATAAGGAGATTTATGGCTTGATCTTCAAAGGCACAAGACTTTGTTAATTTCAGTATTATAGGTGTATAAGACCTAATAAAAAACATTTTCTATCAGATCCATTTGTGAAATAGTAGATTGAATTGATAGACCAATGTTTTTTATACCGTAAATACTCTCACAAACACACTTCTACAAATGCCTACTATAGAACTCGCACTCTTTAATTTCTCTTTGAAAGAGAGGTTATACGAGCTATGCTAATGACTCATTGGTGAAAGGGAATATGAAAGAAAGTCAATATATATATATATATATATATATATATATATATATATATAAGTACGGAACAAATACTTTATCTAATTAAACAAAAATTTAACTTATCCATCAATTTAATTTTCGGTTTACACGTCCTGTGCAATTGATTCAATCTTAACCTCAACCTTTTGTTACACGGACAAGACTTCTGCCTTCATCTCATTCACTAGCTATACAATTTCCTCCTCGCTACTGATCATCGTGGACTTACTACTCTTAACAAGTCGTTTCCATTTCCGATAATGTGCTACAGTGAGGCAAAGCCAGAAAATGAAGGATAACATTTTAGAAACTACAACCAAACTCGACACTATGCTGTTTGAATGTTTGAAATGATCTTCCACAGCTTGTATCACTTGAGATAGCAGTAAAACAATCATTATCTCAGCGATGTATGTGTAGCCGCCCACTCTCCTGTAATCTCGATAACACTTCTCGTACTCCTCCAACTTCTTCTCGTCAAACTCCACAATCGGTTCAAATTTCTTAGTACCACTCAAATAGTAGTTTATGAGGTATATACAGAGGACAAAGCAAAATAAAATGGTAAAAAGGGACAAGAGAATGAGAAAGACGATGTTAGCAACTCCAATGCATATGAGATGAACGTCAGTTTCATGTTGGATATCTTTCAGAGCACTGATCGACTGAGACACCAAAAAAAACACCAGTAGTGTCACAGATGTGCACAAAACCAATGACATCATATAGATCTTACCACTGTTAGACTTCCCTTTTTCTTTATCATCCTCCATACTTGCTTAATGAACCAAAATCAGAAAAGAAATTAATAAATGAGTAAATATAAAATAATAAATAATAAATAATAGAGCCAAAAGTTTTTATTGAGTAATTAAAAAGGAAAAAAAAAAAATTCTGTGCAAGTTAAAGGATTTATATATTTAAGTTACACCCTCTCTAAGAGCTTAAGCTTTTAGAGTAAGTAGATGGGTAGTTAACATGGTTTCAGAGACCTTTGGCTCTTGTTCAAACTTCACAGGCACCCTGATTAAAAAATTGAAAAAATACGAGTTGGACCAAAAGAATGTCACATGTGAGGGGTGTTGGGTTTATTTCCTTCTATATGGAGGAAAGCCCAAGTGGGTTTTATTAAAGCCCAAAGCCCAGCTCTTTAGGGTAAATAACCCTAAGGAGTCAGAATAAAAGAGGGAGAGAGATCAGCCATTTTTTTTCACAAGAGAGAAGAAAAACGCAGGTTTTTTTCTATTCTGCCCAGATTTCATCAAACGTCCGATCCCGCGTTGTCCGTGGTCCGATCGAGCTGAAATTTGGATGACAGGTTTACGACTCAATGAGTTAAAATCTGAACGGTGGAGATCGAATTTTGAGCTCGGGAACAGTGATTCGTGCCCGTGAACAATAACCGGGTTTTGGTATTTTTCTCTCCAATTCTCTTTGTTTTTGCCAAGATTGGTGATATCTTGATGAGATGTATTATAGCCTCTAATTACGATTAGAGAAGACTTTGTGTACCCATTATTTGGTTGATAGTGGAGGTTTCAACTGGACTAGGTCCCGTGGTTTTTGCTCCTCACATTGGGGAAATTTTCCACGTAAAAAATTACTTGTGTTCTTGTGGCTTGGTGTGATTGTTTTTTTTCCTATTATTTTTAGCACATATAAAAGTAAAGATATACTATATTTGTTTGCATATAGGGAGAAGAGTTATTCCGCTATATTTGTTTATTGTTAGCTCTCCCAACAAAGTGGTATCAGAGCGCCAGGTTGACAGATTGCCAGGTTGGCAGTTTGAGTTATGGAAGCAAATACGAGTAGAATGATTAATCTCAATGGTTCAAATTATCACATATGGAAAGGAAAAATGGAGGATCTTCTTTATGTGAAAGATTATTACCTACCAGTGTTTAGTGCTGAAAAACCAAAAAAAAGTCTGATATGGAATGGACTTTGTTACATCGACAGGTGTGTGGGTCTATCAGGCAGTGGGTAGATGATA